GAAGGGGAGGAGACGTTAATGGTATCATCAAATCATTCATTGGGGACATGTCTTACCCTAACTCATTATAGACCTGCCACAGACATTCTTCACCTACAGAGCAGAGCCAGTCCTCTTGTAAGATCAGAGCCGAGCTGGGAGCACAGCTCTGAGCTGCTGGCCCCCATCTGTGGGAAGTTTTCTCCTCACATATAGAGGAAAGGGTGTGTCAACATATTTCAAAACCTTAATTCCCCCTTTGTATAGTAGCTGTTGTAAAAGTTAATGAAGAGAATAGGAAGTGGTGAATTGGTGACCAAAAAAAAAAAATCAACTTGAACATATGGACTCTTCACCCCCTGGAAAGTCCTTCCCACTACATGAGACTGCCCAGGGCTGGGATACATTATATTCATACTCCAAGCCAAATCCATGGTTGGACAGAAGAAATTGGGGAAGCAAGGACAGGGGAGATTCAGGGTGAAACCTCAAGTTCAGAAGATTAGGATTCGCTGATACTCAGGAACACAGGCTGGGAACTTACTTCTGTATCTTTTCAGAAAACCAAAATATTTCACATCAAATATTGCTACTGACAGTTCAGGTACAAATTAGAAAAGACTATGATTTTCTTGGTTATGGTCCTACTTAAACTAGAACCAGGGGCAGAGCTCTCTCTTGAGTATGATGTTGGAGATAAGTTTTGGAGAAGCTGACTCCAAAGGCAAGAATATTGAACAGATCAATTAGAGACTGCATAGAAAATGGCTGAACTTTGTCCCTTGTGGTTTGAATGATAATTGTCACCCATGGTCACAGGCATATGAGCTCTTGGTTCCCAAATAGTGCGACTGTTTCATTGGACTAAAAAGCCACAATCTCTACAGGAAGATCATCACTTGGGCAAGCTTTGAGACTAAAAACTCCCTGTACCATTTCCAGTTCAAACTTTCTGATTTGTGCTTAAAGTTCAAGAGATAAGGCCTCAGCTTCCTGATCACCACAATGCTTGCTTCCCTGTCATAATGGACCATAAACAAGAATACATTATTTTCTCCACAATTTGGCTCAGTCATGGTTCACAGCAACAGGAAAAAAAAATACTAATACTTACTTGAATGAATATTGGAGGAGGGGTAGGTTTATAGACTAAAAAGAGCAAATTCAAATGTGGAATCATTGAAGAGAATAGAGTGTTCCTGTCCTTAGAAAGCCACAGTAGAACCTTGACCTCATGAAGGCTGGATGCCCCAGGGGGTGGGAATTTTGAGGGTGGGGAGGTGGGAGTGGGGGTGTAGATAGAGGTTACATCCACAGAGAAGAAGGAGGAGGGGCGAGGGGATTGGGGGTTCCGAGGGGGTGGTGGGGGATGGGGTAAGGGGACAACATAGGAAATGTAAATAAATCATCCAATAAAAAAAAAAAAAGAAAGCCACAGTAGGTCTGAGATCCTTGTCAGTCACCAAAAATATCAGCCCATTGAGGCTAGAAGTGTAATGAAGTAGGCAGGCGCTTCTGTGCCAAGCACAACAGCCCAGGTTCCAATACCATAAAGTTAAACATACTATAAGCCCCCAACTACATTAACATGTGTTAACTGAGCCTGAGTCTGAGATGTTACTTCTCTTCATTACAGTGGTAACCATGAACTATTCCAGAGAGGAGAAGCCCCTCCATGTCATTCTTAGCTCTAGGATGAACCCGGCTAGATATGCATGACCAAGCCCAAAATGACATGGCCAACCTAGTTATTCATATAGGTGGTTCTATGCCACAAAACTAAAAGGAACTGAGACGTCTGTCCCTGTATATTACACAATTGTAGCCATGATGGAATTAAAGTGACTTACAGGTAGTATTTATGTTGACTGGGTCACACTGAGTTACATTCACTGGACTTTCATCACGTTCTGAGTCAGTCCTAATGATTCTGACCTGTCACCTCTGAGAGACTCTGACCACTTATCCACCAGAGGGTAGATTATATCCTGAGTTTTAGGGTCACATGAGTCCTCAGCCTCCACTGGGCTTCAGTTGTTGCTTGTAGTTGTGTGTAACAGTGCTGTGCAGACTACAAACAGGAATTCCCCTGTGTGGGACCTCTGATCCTTGCAAGTACCTCTTTCCACTAGCATTAGCATCTCATCTCCCTACCAACCAGAGTCCATGGAAAATGCATGAGGAGGTGAATCACAGGTGGATGCAGGGGATCTGAGTGCTCAGAGACGTGGGGCATCCTGTGTAAGCTAATCTACAGACTTTGATGGTAGACAGACCTAGGACTGCCTTACAGCACACAGCATTACGTCCCTCCAGATGCACGGACTTCCACAGCTCAGCATGAGCCAGTGCCCTCCAAGGTAGGTTGGGATGAGAGTTCCCACATTGCTCCACTCAGAAGCTTCCGCAGCCTGTCCTTAGGACTTGATGTGTGAACAGGGACCTCAGAACAAGCAAGAGAAAGCCCCCTCTCAGCTCAGTGGTCCAGTTGAATGACAAAATGAGTCATTCTGAGCAGCTAGGTCATGATGAATGACATGAGCCACTGATTCCCTCAAGGATAAAGCATGACTCTAGAAAGGAACTAGGAATGTGAAGGGTCAGGGCAGGCTTTTCAGCAGAGCCACCTTTTTGTCCATGGGTTTTAAAACTCCTCCTTTCGTATGTGTGAACCATGTAGAGAGCTTTTTTTTTTTTTCAGATGGATACTGATTATGTAACATGTAGAAAATAGGGACAATAATTTACTAAAACTGGATTGATGAGCCAGGTGTATTTGACAGCTGCACTGGTTACTTTGCATGCCCTGACACAAGCTAGAGACACCTAGAGAACCTCGAGCAATTGCCTTCACAATTGTTTGTGGGTATGTAAGGGCAGCATTGATTGACGTGTGAGGGCCCAGCCCACTAAGGGTGGTGTCATCCTAAGCCGGTGGTCCTAGGCCATACAACTGAGCAACTATGGAAAGTGTGCAAGGAAGCACCATTCCTTTATAGTCTCTACTTCAGTTCCCATGGGTTAGAATAGGAATACAAATAAATAATAATAGTTGTTTAAAAAATCAATGGACTAAAAGTTGGTTCTTCAAAGTGATTAAGAATATTAACCAACTCCAGTTAAATTAACTTTTTAATGCATTAATATTATTATTACTAGAAGTGAAATTTGAGACCTTACTGTCCATTCTTCAGAATTCTAAAAGCTCCATGAGGACTCAATAGTTATGCACTAACTGTTGAGTAGCCTAGATGAAACAGCTCTCTACATGGTCCACACATATGAAAGAAGGAGTGTTAAAACCCATGGACAAAAGGTGGCTCTGCTGAAAAGCCTGCCCTGACATTCCTAGTTCACTTCTAGATTCATACTTTATCCTTAAGGGAATCAAGTTCTCAGAATCCCAGAACCTACAGAGATAGAAGCATGAGGAGACACTAAGCTTATGCCAGGTGTAACCAATAAAATGAAATCAATGAAGACATTTAACAAAAGTGAATCATGTTTTGTTTTGCTTTGCTTTTGCTCTGCTTTGCTTTGCTTTGCTTTGCTTTGCTTTGCTTTGCTTTGCTTTG